GGTTATATGACTGTTAAAATTGCCCCCATTTGTACTGAATAAATTTGCGTGCCATCATAATTTGAACAAATAGCAAACTTTGATCTTTTAGCAGCCATGGTCGACGCCAATGAAATTCATCCTTTTTAGTTAGATGACTGTTTAATTGCCATTTGAAGTCATTTTTTAGTTGATTTACTCAAGAAATTTGTGTGCAATCATAATTTGAACAAATAGGGAACTTTGATCTTTTAGCCGGCATGGTCGAACGCCAATGAAAATCATCATTGTAGATGACTGTTTAAATCGCCCCATTTTGAGTCATTCAAGAATCGATTCAATCCAAAAATTTGCGTGCAATCATAATTTGAACAAGTAGGAAACTTTGTTCTTTTCGCAGCCATGATCGACCCCTGGTGGCCCATACTTGGGGCAGCCGCCCCAGTCTTGATCGCCGGCCAAGCCTTCAGAATTAAGGCGAGGCATGCCGAGGAGCAGCGGATCAAAACTGTCCGTGGGCGGGAGAAAACCGCGGACGACATCTTTGTGTGCGAGAGGGTCTGCACTTCAAAGAGGATGCTCAAGAAAGTGGGGGCCTTTTCCAAAGACCCGATTCCCGACACATGTGTCACTGTGTGTGGGGTTTCGGAACTTGATGCCTGTGCTGATGCATGTGCACGCACGGTCTGTGTGAACCAGCATCAAGTCCCCAACTGGAATGATGTTTGTCTGAGGAGGTGTCAGAGTGAGTGTCTTAAAATATCCGCCTCACGGTCTTCCTGAGTCCTTTTCCCTTGAGTTTGAGCATCTCGTTTTCGAAAAAGAAGATGAAATATGCACCATGGGTACCATTAGACCTCCGCTAGTTTCTCTTGGCAGACTGTTTAGAATTGGTGTTCGTTGGCTTCTTAGATGTGTCGAGTAGTTGTTTGATCAATGTATTCTTCCTTTTTTTTTCTTTCCTCTTTGATAGGCCCAGTGGCTGTGTTTTCGGTGGATAGGTTTGTTAACTGTTTGGCTGTTTTTGGGAAAAAACGGAGTTGGTGTAAATTCTGTTGTTGTATTTCCTTGATTGTTTAGTATCATGGTTTTTGTCAAATTTTTTCACTTGTTGGCATCACTGCTTGATGGTCATCAAAAGTAATTTGTATCAAAAGTAAATAGAAAGAGCAAATATATGTAATTCCTTGCTTTAACTCATTTAATAATGATGTTTCTTATTCTGCTACATCCGATGGTGAATTACATAATCCAAGACCAATGTCTAAATTACACTTAATATTAGTTATTAGCAGGGTTGGTCGTAGCTGTAGACATCTTTGCTGGAGGAGTTGCCAGTTTGGTCGTAGGCGGATATTTCGTGGGGATAGTCGGCTTATGAGAGTTAGGAGAGTTGTTTATAGGAATAGGAGTAGATGAATTTTGAATAGGTGGAGACTTCTTTTCCAGAGTTTTCGGCTTGGTCGTAGGTGGAGGAGATCTTTTAGGCGTAGTCGGCTTATCAGTCGAAGGAGATTTGTTTTTAGGAGTAGATGACTTTTGAATAGGTGGAGACTTTTCTGCTAGAAGCCGAGCATATTTGTCAATCGGACGCGACTTTTTTTGTTGAAGGAATGGTGGGCTTGGTCGTAGGTGGAGATTTATCATGTGAAATCGGCTTAGGAGCGGTAGAAAAGTAGTTTAATGAAGAAGGAGAGTTCTTATCCAAAGGAGTTGTTGGCTTTGTTGTGGGTGGAGATTTCTTAGGGATAGTTGGCTTATCAGTCGTAGGGGAGCTACTTTTAGGAGTAGATGGCTTATGAATAGGTGTTGGAGATGAATTGTTTGGCGAAGAAGTAGTCGGCTTAGTCGTAGGTGGAGATTTATTAGGTGCAGTCGGCTTATGAGCAGTAGGAGAATTGTTTATAGGAGTAGATGGCTTTCGAATAGGCGGAGACTTCTTTTCTAAAGGAGTTGTCGGCTTGGTCGTAGGTAGAGATTTCTTAGGGGTAGTTGGCTTATCAGCCGAAGGAGAGTTGTTTTTTGGAGTAGATGACTTTTGAATAGGTGGAGACTTTTCTGTTAGAAAACGGGAGAACTTGTGAACCGGAGGCGAATTATTTGTCGTTGGTGGAGATTTATCAGGTGCAGTCGGTTTTTGAGTGGTAGGAGAATTGTTTATAGGAGTAGATGGCTTTTGATTAGGTGGAGACTTCTTTTCCAAATGTGTCGTAGGTGGGGATTTCTTTGTGGTAGTCGGTTTATGAGCAGTAGGAGAGTTGTTTATAGGCTTCGAGGACTTTTCAATAGGTGGAGACTTTTGTGCGAGGGAACGGGCAAATTTATGAATCGGAGGAGAGTTGTTATCGGGAGGATTGGCGTGCGGAGCGTGGCCGTAGACGGAGATTTGCTCGGGAAAATCGGCATAATATGTAATTTGTCCAATGAATTTCCATGGCTAGTATGATAGGCACAAGTACTAATGGAAAGAAAAATGAATCCAAATACAAAAGCATTTGAAGAAATGGGAAACATTTTGGCTGTGATATACAATTGAATTCGTTGGCTACATATTTATATGACAAAGAGGCATGAGAGGATGTAGCTAATCATAATCATACCTTTAGTTTTATCCCGTTCACTTTTTGGGTTAGTGAGCTTTGTATAATCACTTATCCAAAGATATTATGGGTGGTGATATACACATACATATTTCATGCATGCACGGAGATAAAATCCATAATAATGAGTTGTGATTTAGTCACTCAAATTTAGGACATTATTATCTTGGTAATTTAATTACAAATGATGAATTTCTTATATGGATCTTCGAATCCATGAAGAATGTTCAATATGACATACTAAAAAATAATACAGTATTATCTTTCCTCTTCTCCTAAACATATGTTACTATGTAACAAATATAATTGTTGTCAAACTTCAATAAATTTTATTCAACCAGCAATTAATAATAATAGTAGTTCGTTGAATAAAATAAGGTGTTCATTTAACAAAAAAATATTCAACATTTAATAATAAGATGTAACTTTCAGTTACACGATTTTATTTCGACATGTCCCATTTGGGATGGTGCTCATTTTTGTAATGCCTTTTTATGCCTTAAAATACAAAATATATGTATATATATTTTTTTTTATTTTGATAGTATATATATTTTGGTATCATGTAAATACATATTTCACAATTAATTAAGAATGACTACAAATATCTTTAATTTCTATTACAGAAACAGTAACAAAAAAAAATAATTTTTCGGATATTACAAAGATAGATCAAATATTTTGAAAAATCAAATCTCATGAAATAAAACTCTTCATTGCTCCTGCAAAATGGTAATGCAATATATTTAAATTTTTTAATATTATATACATAAATATAACTTAAAATAACTCTATGTTTAAAATTTAATACCATTATCTAACTTATAATTTTAATATTTATAATATTTTATTTATATCTGTGCAAATAAACATGATTGAATACTAGTAACTAGTACAACGCCCGTGTATTACACGGGTGCTTGCTAAAAATTTTTCTTAAAATTTAAAATTAATGAGAAAAAGTAAATGAAAATTTAAATACTTTTTATAAAAGATATATATTATTATATAT